GAGGAATTACTGAAACCCAAATAAAGGCATGATTGTGGGAGAAGAGGAAAGTAAAAGAAAGTAGAGGAAAGAACTAAGAGGCAAAGGGCATTTATAGAGGTCTAAATACAGGCATGCACATCTGTAAATATATTTATATATGATTTATATATGATGATGGGGAAATAGATCTATGTACATATATTTATAGGTTTAGTATTAAGGTGGCAGATGGACATTCAACTGATGGGATCTTTGGTTTAAGAAAAATATGATGATCGAGCATTATTGTGAGGTATTAGATAAGTTCATGTATTTAATAATTTAGAATAGGGCTAGACTTGAATAAACACTAAAAAAACCAAGCAAACAGCAGTCCTTATAATAAACCAAAAACCAGTGATATCACCTTTAAATAAAAATGTATTGTCAATAATGACAAGCCTTAATTATGGTACAATTTACAAGTAGTATTCTTTTCTACTTACATCATAGTCACATTTGAAGAAACTGATGGGACAACTTTCAAGTTGGCTTCATCGCATCTCAGCTCTCGTCCTTGGCAAAGACATTGCACAGGCACAGAAGCAACCACTGCATGAAGAAGGGGGAGTAGAAAGGACACAGGAAGAGGGCAACAAGAAGAAAAAATGAAAGGGCACAAGAAAATTATTTAGTACAAAATTGTGGTGTGGTCTCACCTAAGAAATTTGGGCAATACTTTTCATAATGGCTTTAAAGTTTGATCTTGACTTTACCTTAAAATAACGCTAGAGAATTAAGATTTGGAAGCAGACTTTTACCAGGGCATGCTTTTTTGTTGTTTCCTTTTTTAAAGCACAGGCCACTCCTCTCCATTTGTTTAAAAACGAATGACTCATTTCTTGTAGTTATGTCCAAGGCTGACCTGACACTGTGTGATGAAGTTTTATGTTCACATTAAGGAAAGTTTTATTAACAGCATAATTCAAAACAGTAATGGCTAATTATTTTTAACTAATGAGAGTTAGAAAAGACCCAAACTCTATTGTTTTAGTAAAGTTTCTTTCCCTCTTGTTACTTAATACAGAAGAGTTCTTCAAAAGAACTTTAATGGACTTATAACTTTCTGATTTTATTTTATTTGGCTTATGGAGGGGCGTAAGGATATATGAAACTTGATTTACGGGGTGATCGTTTTTCTGCATACTCTTGGGTTCTAGAGCAAGATGTATGCCTTTGTTTATTTTGTGGGGAGTCTTAGAGAATGGATATATTCTTGGAGAATTGGTTCCAGGATCTTGGCCCCAGCCCCAAATTAGTGGATACTTTTTGGCATGTATTTGCAGAATATCTATACATAATTTCCCATGTATTTAAATCGTTTTTAGTTACTTATAATACCTAGTACAATTCAAATGATATGCAAATAGCATTATATTTTCCCTCTTAGTCTTTAAAGGATTACTTTGGCCATTAACTGATTTTTAGTTGCTCCCCCCCACCCACACACATATTTTCAACCAACATTGGTTGAATCCAGGAATGTGGAACCAATAAGGAGAGTCAACTATGTATTAGAGAACATCAGGGATGTATTTATTAATTGAGTTAAAGAGTGTAACTCAAATAAACTGACCGCCATCGAGTCAATTCCAACTCATAGTGACCCTGTAGGGCAGGGTAGGACTGCCCCTGTGAGTTTGAGACTATAACTCTTTACAGGAGAAGCTCATCTTTCTCCTCGAAACTGGGTAAAGGGATGATTAATTACCCAACAAGGAATGCTTCCCCCTTACATTTACTTCTGGAGTCTAAACTATGTACATTTAAATATCTACAGGAGTTAGGCAGATAGAACAAAAGAGACATGAAATGGCTTCAGATATGAATCTCAACCTCCTACTAACTGTTGCACATAGAGTAGAGACATTTGTGGCCAAGCCTACCAACTTTTTAAAAGCCAGAAATATAGAAAAAAGTACTTATTTATTTAAAGAATAACAATAGCTAATTAAAATAGTTGAAAACTTTATACAACAAGCAAACCTTTCGGTGAGAATGCTGTGCATGATAGACTTCCAGTTTTTACCTTGACACTAAAACCTTCCAAGAGTAACCACTTGCCTCCATGGTGAAATAGAGACCCTACTGACCTACTGGAGGCATGCTCGTTAATGAGCAAGAGCGATTACAGCTATGAGCTAATAACATGCCCCTTTGCTCCTATGGTGGGTAACAGGTGTGTTTTCTTGCCTCTTATGGTGTTCTGCACACTCCTCACCAGGCTTATAAAAGATCAAGAGCAGGTTTTATGTTTTATGTGGACAGAGTATCTGCCAAGAACTTTTAAATAGTTTTGTAGTTGTTACGTATCCATTTGGCACTGTAATTTTCAGCACTGATTGTGTCCCTTTAAATTTAGTTCATGTCTAATATGCTAACGTATGTCTATGCTGTGGTCATAGTATGGTGGGTACTGGGAAGGAAGAGGAAGACCGGGAGTGCAGTGATAGGAAGAGTAGGAATGACACTGACGTTAGAGTGCACTGTCCATTTAGCTAGGCTGCATTCACATAATTCATACATGTCCAGGATGGGTGGATCTATAGAGACAGTAACTGGATTCATGGTTTATTGGGACTATGGCAGGGGAGGTTGGGAGGAAATTCGGCGCTAATAACAAGGAGTATGAGAAAGAAGAAAATGTTCTAAAATTGATGGTGGTAATGATCATACAACTCTTATCGGTATGATTGCATTACTGAATTGTATGATATGTAGAACATGTCCCAAATTGTTTTAATAAAAAGCAATTTAAGTGAACAAGTGAATACAAATGCATGGGGATAGCAGTGGGGGTAAGGTAAAGATAGATAACCTGCTTCCTGTGCATATCTCCAAGGGACTCAGGAAGAGAAGCTGAAGAGCTATGGAATCATTCCCTATAGCCATCAGAGGGCGAAAGACTTCCCCTAAAGCCAATGCCTAGAATTCAGACTTCTAGACTCCAAACTACGACAAAAATAACATTTCATTTGTTAAATCACTCTCTTCTAATATTTCTGTTATGGAAGTACTAGATAACTAAGACAGTGAACAATCCATCAATTAATGTTGGTGGCCGCTGGTGGTGAAATGATGAGCAATAATTCTTTCCAAATTTGTGTATTTTCAAAATTCTCCCATTTTAAGCATTAATAATGTTTGTTACTACAAGATATTACATTTCCATGTTTCTGTTCTTGAGAAGAGATTTGATAAGTGTGAACTCACATTCTTTTACCTAGTCAAAAATGATTGTAGGCCATCCTCATTAATTAAATTTAAACCCCTATAATAATTTGATTTAAATAGCATAGCAAGAATAGAAACTTTAAGTTTAATCCCGAGTCTTACACTACACTTTCTAGTAATTTTTGCACTGATAGTAAGTTTGAAAACTGTATTAAATTATATATTACACTTCATCACTTTGAAAAACTGTATTTAAAATTATGCAATTTGTTCTTTAGTAAATCTGATAAGTTACGACTACATATTTTGATATACAATCTACCCTGTAGCTTGACTCTTACATAAATATCCCTGGGAAAAATTCCTTCCATAGCATGGCACCAGGCAGTTTGATGATTTCATCTGTTTTCTCTCTTATACCCATTTACTTGTTTCTGCTTTTATAAACCAGAGTTTAAAAATTAAGTAGCCCATTATGCTTCATTTTGAATGAATGATTACAAGGTTCAAAAGCTCATCACATAGATGCTGGATTTTCTCAGTGAGGATTTCCTTTATATTTGTGTGTGTATCTATATTTATGATTATACATATTTTCCCCTCAATTTGCCTTCTTATCCATCAGTTGGCTTTGGCCTTTTGTATCATATTAATGGTGAAAGTTGATTAGCAGCCAAAATGTATCTAGAATCCTTTTGGGAATAAGACAGTTTATAAAAACTTTAATTAATATTTTAGATATAAACAGAACATGATATATACTAAAAAAAAGGACTACTTTTTGAGAGAATGCATCTTAATCCATTTCATTTTAAATTTTACATTAGCAGTTAGATTATATCACCTAACTTTGTTTTCCTCAAGAGTTTTTGATTTTTCAATGATCACATAATCTGATCACCAGGATCTTGGCGATAGGTAAAATAGAGACTCATGAGAAGTCTGTATTATTTCCTTAAACTGGGGATTATTAATAGTTTTACTTATTTAAAAATCTCATTTATGTAGTAAAGACAAAAATATTTACAAAAACTGGGCTTTACATAGTTGGTAGGAAAATATGGAGCAATGTTTCCTCCCCCTACTTCCTGCTTTTATACAAGAGTTTGAGTAGCTAGGGTCCAAAATTTAAGTCCAAGGCACTGATTCATGTTTGAGTATTTTATAGGAATTGGTAAAATTCATTTAAAAGAAGTTCCTTTTCACAGCTTTCAAAATAGAATAGCGTTAACACACAGGTTATGGTCAACCAATCTCCCCCAGGCAAGCCCATCAGTCATTTAGAAAAATAAGTTGTAGCTGTATGCCTAAGGACAGCAGGTTATGATAAACAAGGCTTTTGTGGTTCTCAAATACAGCTCAGTTCCCTGAGGAGTTTTCCTTGGGAAATATTATGAGCTGAAAACATTAAAAGTTAAGTTAAAGTTTCTGCCCGCTTCTATTTTTGCAGTTTTCTGGACATCAGAATGTACAAGTGTAGCAGTGATTGTGCCAAGGGGGATCAATACAGCAACCCTGACTGACATTACTTTGCTCACTGGAAGACTTGAGTGACTTGGTTCTTTTACACTTTCAGTCTCTAAGTCATTTAAAACTAAACTTCCTATATTATGTAATGATTCTCATCATTACTGAGATTTGCAACTAGAAAGCTATAATAATCTTTAAAAAAATGGAATTGAACGTCCAAAACTCTGATGCCTATTTATGACCTCCTGGAGAAGGTAGTTCATGTGTCTGGTTACTTACAACAGTCAAATAGGTTTTCCTCTGTGGAATGAACCTTGTAGACCATTGCAAAATATTTGTCAAATCGCTCAGACCATCCATTGTTGTCTCCTGAAATAAAAACCATGATAAGAGAAAATGAAAAGAAGCATTCTGAGGTTAGGGTGAAAACAGAACTTTGACTGAAAAAGGAACCAGTGATCCTCAAACTCACAAAGAGAAAAATCACCTGAGCACTTGTCACAAATATGAATTACTGAGTTATCCACCTAGACTCTGATTCCATAAACGTAGAATGGGAACTCCTCTTGTTTCTAACAATTTTTTCAGTAAGTAGAATTTGGAATACACTTTGAGAAACAGTACTGTAGACATACTAAAATACATGGCATCATTTAAAGCATGACACTTTTTGTTTAATATATATTTCTAAAATTTTATAGCAGTACGTTTGGACTTACCTTCATAATTCATAAAGGTTATTTTCTATATTTAATGCATGCTGGTGGTGCCGCTAGGTAAGCATGAGATTGCTAACCTCAGGGTTGGCGGTTCAAAACCACGAGCTGTTCTGCAGGAGAAAGGTGATATGTACAACCTCAGGAACCCTAAGAGTTCCTGACTTCTGACTGCTATGAGCCAGAAGTGACTTTATAGTAGAGGTGTGTGTTATGTTCTACGTTCCTAATTTGGCGAATAGTCTTTGACAGCTAGTGTGCAGCCACCTAAGATATTATTATTGGCCTCTACTCCCGAGGCAACAAAGACAGAGACCAAAGACTCAGAAAAATATGTCCGGCAAGACTGAAAGCCTGTAGGGACGATGGGCTGAGATGAGAAGATCTAGATCCTGCTGAACTACCGCCATCCAATGCTCTGATTGGCACTGCAGTAGATGGATGATGAATGGAAGGGAGAAAAACATACAATGGACGGTTCTCAGGTGCCATCGAGTCAGTCCAATCCATAGCAACCCTATGCACAACAGAACCAAACACTGCATGGTCCTGCGCCTGCCTTACAATGGCTCCTATGCTGGACCTCGTGGTTGCAGCCCTGGTGTCAATCCATCTCATGGAGCTCCTTCCTCTTTCCCACTGCTTCCCCTTTACAAGCATGATGTCCTTCTGCAGCGACCGGTCTCTTCTGACAATGTGTCCAAAGTACGCATGACAAAGTCTTGCCATCCTTGTCTCTAGAAGCACTCTGGCCATACTTCTTTCAAGACAGGTCAGTGTGTCTTTTTAGCAGTTAATGGTACTTTCAATATTTTCCAACTCCACTATTCAAATATATCAACCCTTCTTTGGTCTTCCTTATTCAGTGTCCAACTTTCACAAGCATATGAACAATGGAAAGTACCAGGCTTGCGTTAGGTGCACCCTAGTCCTCAATGTTTTGAAGCTATGCTTAGAACATGCCTTATTTAACAGCTCAAAAGGATCTAGACTAGAGGGTCCCTAAGACTATCTTCCTGAGGTACTCTTTAAAGTTTGAATGAAACTCCTTCTTAGGCTAGTAACCTTTACCTTTCAGCCAACAGATTGGCTCATACACTATCAGTCTATCACCCATGTCTACTGTGCTCTTTCGAAAACTCACCGACAGGAGACCAAATGGTCAACATTTACGTGAACATGGATGGAAAGAGAAGGTGGGCGGGAGGGAAACTGGTGACTGGAAATGGAACAATTAGAATGAAAATAATGCAAATGTTGACATATTGTAAATTATGTAACCAATGTCACTCAAAAATTTTAGAAAATTTTAAGTGGGAACCTAATTTGTGGAGTAAACGTTCACCAAAAATGTGATAAAATGGTATAAACATGAATGGAATCAGTAAATAGAATGGACTAGTAAATGGGTATGTAGGATCAGCTTCTTTGGAAGTAGCTCCCAAAGGGGGCAGGTTTGAACTTGATCCTCTCTGGGAGTGTTAAAGCGTTCAGAGTGGTGCTAGGCCTCTTTAAGGCTGCGTGCGTATTTAAATGGAGGGTGAAAATGAAAAATGTTCACCCTATTTCTGTAAGTTACTATCAAATACAATCTAGCATTGGTTTTATATGTATTGTCATGTATATATAATCTACATCTGAAATTTGAGTTCAGATGCATGGATTTGGAGACACTGACTTTAACTATACCTGTGGCTTCAACTCTTGAAGAAGTTCCTAATTATCCCTCTCATGCATAATTTTTCTATTATGTACTGTGATTCAGCTTCTTATAGGTACTTCAAAACCAACATTTCCTAATTAGAATCCACTATCCTCCCCTATATAAATCTGCTACTATGACTAAAGCCTCTGGATTGTGGGATGGCCTCTCTAAATGTCAAACTGCCCACAGCAGAAGGCTAACCTGATTGGAGTACCTGATAAAGGATACCTGATAAAGCATAATCTGGGCAATTTCCCTCCCTTCTCTATGTTATTTTATTTTTCTTCCGCTCATTACTCCTCCATGATGATACATTTGGGAAAGGAAAGGTAATTCAATGTAAATATATACATACTTGTAAAATTGAATTCCTTTTGAAGCCCCACTAAAAAATGAAATATTGCAAAGAATATGATTTAAATATTGTATTTATAACACTATCCCTCCTTCAGAATTTTTCATCTGTTTCAAAGATTTTTTTATTATTAAAGAGGATTGAAAAATTAACAAAAGTAGCAAAGTAGTATAGCAATATCCCAGTTCAGAAGGTGAGGGCTGAATTTTACCAACCACAGACTATTCCATGAGACAGCAGGAAGGCACTTAATAATGCATGGACAAGACACATCACTGCAGAGACGGCCAATACTAGTGTCTTTTTTTACGCAGCACCTGGAAACACTCCTGTGTTTTGGTTGGTAGAAGAGAGGTAGAGGCCATTTTTCTGCTGCCCTGTCTAAAACAGAGATAGAAATGTTAAGAAGCCATGGAGGCAGTGGTAGAGAGCAACTTCGTATTGCAGATATTGCCAGCTTTGTAGGTATCAAGAGGCAGTTGTGAATGAAACATGAAGACTTTGGCAGTAGGGGCAGCAACAACTGTCTCAATTTCCAGAGTGAAGTGGTGGTGGTGTGCTCTTGGATTCAATAGCTCTACTGGAGACCCTGCTGATTTCCACTCTTTCACCTCTTCTGTCTGATCCCTCTGATAACATACATGGAATACTTTCTGTTTTGCTAAGCCCCAATAAGCATACGGATAATTTGAATTACTTGATTAAAATGTGATTTCAATATGGAAGGACATTTGATTAATTTTAGGAGCTCGGAAAGAAGCCCACCAAAGCAATGCCTTTTTCCTGAGCACATGAGTTTCCACTTTTGTGATCCTGTTTCAAGAATGTCAGGGACACATTTGGCGTTTTTTCCTGCATCCATCCAGGTTCTGGTGATAGCGTCAGACATCTTACAAGATGTCCTGCTCTACTGGGCTCCAGATCCTTTTGTGTTTCCTTGCCTATCAGGGTTTGTAGTTTGTGGCCATAGATTTCCTTCCTTCATTGGTTTGACTGATTTGTTGACTTTTGTCCCCTCAAATTCTTACTTTAACAAATGGACTCATGAGGGGAGAATTCTATGAGGGATACTGATTTGCCTGTTTTAACAGAGTAGTATATTTTACAAGTCCCTACTATACTAAAAACAAACAAACAAAAACCCAAACTCATACCATTGAGCCAATTCCAATTCATAGCAACCTTACAGGGCAGAGTAGAAAACTGCCCTTTAGGATTTCTGAGACTTATTTTTTTCTTCAGGTTTTATAGAATGTATTAAAATTATTTTATTTATGTAATTTTTTTATTGTGGCAAAATATGCACAACAAAACATTCTCCAATTAAACAACTTCTACATGTGTAGTTCAGTGCCATTGATTGTAAATCTTTACAGGAGCAGAAAGTCTCATCTTTCTCCCAGAGCTGCTGGTGGTGTCTAACTGCTGACCTTGTGGTTAGACTGAAGCGTGTGGGTATAGGGTAAGCTTGTGTGTCAACTTGAATGGGCTGTGATTCTCAGTGGTCTGGCAGCTATTAAGTGATGTGATCATTCTTCATGATGTGATCTGATTTGTAAGGGGAGTGCTTATGGCTGTATTGCCTACATCCAATATATATGGGTGTTCAGGCAAAGCTTGCTCAGTCTAGCTCACCACATTTCGACATCAGATTCTTGGGATCAGCCTCGGTAGCCTGTGAGACTGCTATCTTACTCCTCTGTCTTGGATGTGTCAGCCTCTGCAGTTATGTAAGTCTCGTGTAGCCTTCCACTTGATGCTAACTTACAGACTTGGGACTTGCCAGCTTCTACGAGAGCATGAGGCAGCTCCTTGAGGAAACTCTCTCTCTCTCTCCCGCTCTACGTCTATATACACTTTATTAGCGTTGCTTCTCTAGAGAGCCCAGTCTAAGACACATACCAACGATTTAGAAGATGCCATAGGACCAGGCAACCTTTTGTTCAGTTATACGTAAGGTCACCATGAGACAGAGCAGACTCTGGCAACTAACAACATGAACCTACAAAGGGGTATTATTTAACCTTGGGGAGAAACGGAGTTCTGGTACATTCTATGACATGGGTAGACCTTGAAAGCATGATGCTACGTGGTCAGACTCAGATACAAAAGCACAAACATTGTATTGCCACACTAAAATGTTTCTTGAAAGTGAGGAGGACTTGACGCACTTGCTGATGAAAATCAAGGATTGCAGCCTTCAGTGTGGATTACAACTTAGTGTACAGAAAACCAAAATCCACACAATTGGACCAATACGTAACATCATGAGAAATGGAGAAAAAGATTGAAGTTGTCAAGGATTTCATCTTGCTTGGATTCACAACCAGTGCTCCTGGTAGCAGCAGTCAAGAGATCAGCAAACCATTTTCTTTGGGTGAATCTGCTGCACAAAACCTCTTTTAAAATATTGAAAAGCTAGGAAGTTACTTTGAGGACCAAGATATGCTTGACCCAAATCATGGTCTTTTCAGTTGCCTCATAGCCATGTGAAAGTTGGACACTGAATAAGGAAGACTGAACAAGAATTGATGCATTTGAATTATGGTGTTGGCAAAGAATGTTGAAAGTACCAGGGATTGCCAAAAGAACA